ATAAATGTATCCACTTATTTAATAATATATAAAAATTTAATTAAAAAATAATATTAAAAAATTGTTCTGATTGCACGGTCTTTTTTCTTAGTGTATATGGATACCGTGGGTGTTTTACGTCAGGCAATAAGTGGAGTTACTCCCGATGTAGCAGTAAAACCAAGATGAGTAAGCGGATCGACTCAGCAAGTTAATTACCACTAAAACAGGATCCACAAAAGGAAAAGCACTTGCCATTCGTTGGTTAGTAGGGGCAGCCCAAAAACGTCTGGCTCGGAATATGGCTTTCAAATTAATTTCCGAATTAACGGATGCTACCAAAGGGTTTCCATAAAAAAGGGAAATTTTCCGCCTCCATTCTTGAGCCGTGAAGAAGAATATTCTCTCTCTATCCCCGCAAATTGCCCATCCTTGCTTCCTCATGTACATCTGACTTACACTTCCTCTCCCTAACTCTCCCGATCACCTGTGCAACCTAAAACTCCCAACCTCCATAATCTCCATCTGGTTTCTTCAAAAAGACACACTCTCTCCCTTTGTGGTTTTTCTTCAAACAGAAAGACATACCAGTTCTCAGGTCTATGGCGTACAAAATTCTATTTAACGGCGGTAATGGCAACCCTAGCCAGATAGCGTACTTGCACAATTACAATGCAAACAGAGCCCATGGCGCAGGCCTTCAGATCGGAAATACCTACATTGGCCCAGGTGCCGGAGGACAAAACAGTAATCATGGCCCTGGTGCCGGTGGTATCAACAGTGGCTATGCTGCTGGAGCAATCAACAGCAATTATAACCCAAAAATGGCGCCTAGAAAGAGGTATAGGGGCGGAAATCGAGTGGGTGCACCGTCGCTTGGTGGAGGAGTTCGGAGGGTTAATTGCCAACGAAATAAATACTTCTTTTGGAAATTCCCTAATAGTTGGGATAAGAGACGTTTGCATGAGATTTTTACCGGATATGGCAAAATTTCAAGCATTTGCATTCCGAGAACAAGGGACAAATATGGCAATAGATTCGGTTTTGTCAAGTTCTCGCAGGTGACCGATAAGAAAGGTTTGGAGACACTGGACAAAACAGCCGCTTGCAAGATTAGAGTAAATCCATACAGAAGGGTGATTAAGGATGCAGGTGAGGGGGTAAACAAAACTGAATTCAGAACAGAAGAGAAAGAAAAAGCTTGGTTGAATCGCTGTCTTGTGGGATGTCTTCGAGAACAAAAAGATACTGGCATGGTGAGGAAAAATCTCGATAAACAGGGGTTAACCTCAGTTATTCTTCTGGAAGGAAATCTTGTTCTTTTAAGATTCTCCAATGAATCTGATCCAGCCACTCTTCTTGATAAAGGCAGAGATATCTTAGAGCAACATTTTCATTGGGTGGAGCGCTGGTCCCCGAACATTTTTAAGAAGAGGTGTGCCTATATAAGGGTCATGGGAGTCCCTTTGGATGCTTGGGGGGAAAGATTCTTCACAATGATAGGTGATCAGTGTGGAAGGTTTGTTTCCATGGATGATTCAACCATGAAAAAGTCACGACTTGATTTTGGGAGAGTGTTGATCAATACTTATTCAGCAGAAATTATCTCCAAGTGTTTGACTGTTAGGATTGATTCCAAGGAATGCAAAATCAGAGTGATTGAAGAGGCTTTTCAGAATTCAGATTGCACGGTTGGAGATGGCAGTTCAGATGAAGTGGAACCCCAGTCTGATGGGAATGGAAGTCTTTGTAAGGGTGATAACATGGAAATGCTGAAGAAGAAGATTTTCACTGGAAACATTGAGTGTAGTAATGTTCAAAATGGTCCACAAGAATGTTCTTTGTGTTCAAAGCAACACAACTATCTTCAGGAGGGAGATGAAGTCGTTGGTTCTAGCGATCAGGGATTACAGGAGGAGATCACTGGGAGTGAGCCTCCCAAAAATCATCCTGGTGAGTTAGGCTCACAAGAGTAAAGCACACCATTTGACCTGGACAAGAGTGATAATGCACTTAATGTACATGTTGTCTTTGGTTTAAACTCTATGAGCACGTCTAGGACCACTGAAAATGCGGATACAGAAGGGGATCTCATTGCAAGGCATAGTAAAGTAGTTAAAAGGAAATCTTCATAAATTAGGGGAATGTGCAGACCAAAAGAGTAAGGAGGTCTCGCTAGCCGCAAAGCACTTTCAGGGTAAATAGAGATGGAGGTTTTCGAAGAAGTATATATTTTGGTGGAAAATACGGACTGGGAGCTTCCTTTTTGGTACATCTTCTCTTTTTTCTTGTTCTTATGTACATGTTTCATGCTGGCTTCTTAGCCATGGCCCTGGGTGACGTTCCTAGCTATAGAGTACTTTCAGATAACCACACAGAAAGACAAAAAGTGTAAACATTTAGGGTTTTGTTATTTATTTTCAAAGATTGGTAGTAGCTAGAGAGTAAAGTCTGAGGAGCTTCCACCTTCATCTTCCTCACCACCATCATCTCATGGGAAAAAAACAAGTTGGGGCATGTGCATAAGGGCGGTTTGGCAATCAATATGAGGCAAAGGGAGAAAGGGAGGAGCACATGAGATTAATCTAGTAGCTGTGATTACTTCAATCACCATATATTAGTTCATGCACTTTTTAAGAGAAGCTGAGGAAGAGTACGGATTCAATCAGAAGGGAATATTACAACCTACAACCACAATCCCATGAGGAAGAATTTAGGTACCATTTCAGGTATGATTTGGCAGGGGAAAATCCCATCTGCACCATCATGTGTAGTGTGTTTTGGGGTTTGATTCTGGTGATTAGGTTTAACTGTAGATTTTTTTTCAGTTTCAGTTTTGCAAATTTGGATTATAGGTTGGGTGGATGATGAGGCAAACAGTGAAAGATGTAATTTTTTATTTTAACTGCAGGTTATGTTGTGCCTTGTTCTCTTGTCAAATAAAATATCTTTTATTTTTTTAACTATTTAAAGAAAAAGAAGTAAAAAAATGATCAATGATGCGGACAAAATGTTGCTTGCCAACTGTAACAACTGCTATCTTCTGGCTTCTTTTTTTTTAGAATATGAGTTATATATATATAACAATAGAGACTACCTTAAGGAGATGTGACATCTTGTGAAAGTAAACAAAAGCAATAAGTTAGGAGATATATGTGCCAGTACCATGGCCCATGGGTATTGAGGTTTTAGAGTTGTTTTGGCTACCTAATTAGCTAATTTGTTGGTTTTTTTGGTAACATAACAAAAATGAAAATCAAGATAGTTATTACATGATTGTCTTATGCTAATAATCATAGATTTAACCTTTGTTTAACACGTGGGTGAGACTCAAAATTTAGATCTTTAGTAAGATAAGAATACTCTTTTATAATGCAGAAGTGGTCCCTCGGCCACGAGAACTTCTCATTACGACTGTAGTTTTGTTTTATGCCTTCGTGGAAAAGACATGTTGTCCTTTCTTTTCTTTAAGGTTGCACACAAGACACGGCTCTATTTACCCACTTTATTGAATCTAATAACTTAATATATATATTATCACTAAATCATTTGACAAAAAGCTTTTCTTCGCTTTGCACTTTGGGGCATATGGCTTTACCGGAACCAAGTTCTCCACAGACTCCAACATCACTGGGCGGCTGTCCCTAGAGAATTGATCGTCGAAAACTGGACATCAAGGAGTACCATTCCTCGTCGTATCAGAAGGATTGGGCGTTTTAAATGAACCACGCCTGATCTCTCTTTTATCGAACTTATGATCTCCACATTTGAACTTACAAAATTGTTTAATTTTATAAAAAGAGGTGATGTTCAGTTTACTGATGTTAAAGTAATTTAAAATTTTTTTATTAATAATGATAAAATGTATAATTTACCAAAAGTAGGTTACAAAATAACTCTCTTAATTTAATACACAAATCGTTTTTTTTTTTTTTGTAAATAATTTCATCTTGAAATATTAATTTCGATATTTTGGGTCACAATAAGTCCTTGGGACCTTGACAAATCCGCTAGTCTTACTCTTATTCATTCTTTGTTTGCAGATGAGATGAGCAACCACGATTCGTGTTCAGTTGCGTTACAACGTCCATACGTTTGGTGTTAAAGAAAAGGGCAAAGAAATGCAGCTAAATAACAGATTTCAACTTTTAGAATAATCTGTAATGGTAATTGTCATTCCAGAAAGAAGGGGACAACTTTAAGAGCTGATTCTATATCACGAGCAACAGCAATCCAATAACAAAAATAGTTTCAGTGGACCGAATGTTAAAACCGCTCAAAATGCATCCTAAAGTGGATTCTATAGGCCATAGATATCTAAGCTACAGACAACTATAGTAACACCACATGCAAGGACGAAATATATGGTACCATTATTAGGACCTACTAAAAATACAGACCTTTCTTTCTCCAGCATATCGAGAATAACACTTATCCAACACTGGAAGATCACACTGGCGAATTCTTTTGTGTGCAAGAAGCTCCATAGTTAATTCCAACGATCATATCTGTCTCTCGTGTATGGACATCAGAGAATGCATTCTTCTCTTCGACTAGGTAAAGAATACCAGAATGAATAGAATGATGAATAAAACAAGTAAGAATAGTATCATCATAATCTGGCCCTTAACACCAGCCTTCTTCATGACCATGGCCACTTTTTTCTGCAAAAAAATTATGAGTTACTTTCATCAAATTAATACTTTCAAGTTTAAAATTACTACACAGCATGTTTGAGCTCAGGTTATATTCTGGAAACTAAAGGCCCAAGTTTTAAACTTCAGAACACAGATGGAAAGGGTTTCTAATCAACAATGGCAGAAACTACTCTGCCGGAGGAAGAAAATCACCTGAACGAAATCAAGACGATTTGATGTACTTTCCATTTCATTGCCCAACTCATCTATGATCTTTTCCTGAAGCATAAAATGATTTAAATTTTAGCATACAAAATTCTAAACAAAGATTACAAAAAAATTTGACAATTAATTAGATAAGTCATAAATAATATTAAGAACACAATTTTATTAATCGATGCACCAGAGGGAACAAGCGCACAAATAGCTTGTTTTCTAATCCAGTACGAAAATTGCAGTGATGTTACAAAGGAGATTGATCACAACAACTCACTTGTGCAAGGAGTTCTTCATGTATGGTAAGTCCAACACCACCAATTCTCTGAACACTGGCACTAAGTTCATCCAATTCCTCATCTTGCTGCCTATAATAAGAACTGGTCATAATTAGAAAATAAACAAATAATGCAACATAGGGAATAAGAACTGACTCAATGTTTTGTACTCCCTCCATTTCAAAATATAAGTCAGTTGACTCTTTTGCACACAATTTTAGGTCATGCTTTTTTATAGTCTATGAATGATAATTATTATTATTATTATTATTTTATCAAATGAAACTACTCACAAAAACTACATATAGGAAAAAAGAAAATCCCAATTATCATTCATATACTATACAAAAGTATTATCTAAAGTTACATGCAAAGTGTCAAATGACTTATATTTTGAAACTGAGGGAGTATGTGAAGAAGCCCTGTTACCATACATAAATTCATTTCCTTCATTACTAAAGTTTGGCCTTACGTTAACAAAGTTCAAGTTAGTGAAATACAACACATTTGAAATGAATATATATATATATATATAAGACAAAAATATCATTTTTAAATTTATTTAACAGAAGAGCCTCTTAACTACAGAAAATGTAAAATTAATAGTCAATTGCCTTACTAACTGCAGTAAAAACAAGTAGTATTGGAACAGTAAAAGAAAGGCTGATATATTTTTACTCTTTATTATAACATCAAACTCTAACAAGAAGGCTGGTAATATGAAAAATGAACAAATAAACTAAAAAAGAAACATAAGCAGCAAATGGTTCATTTTATAAAAGTGTTATGCAGACAAAGGTAAGCAAAGCAATGGTTAAAAAACCATTCAAGTAAGGTCAACATTTTTTCAGGAAACTCAAGCAACTCCCTAACCTCTCAATCTACAAATGCATAGAACTAGGTATCTCACTCAAAGGTGAAAGCAATTAACATGTGATGCAGCCCCCAGAAACAAGAAACTTAGAATACCAATGAGCATAAATTTAAAGTCAGAAGTGATAACCAAATACAAATCTACTACAAGAAGAGGAGATGGTAAAGTAAGAAAATGACTCTACTTTATAAGCAGCATTTGTCTATCTGATTCTGATGCTATAAAATCATCATTATCTTGATCGTAGTATTGGTTGGATCTATCAGGCTGGTGAGAATTGGGAAGCCTCATCAATTCTCGGTGCATGGCAGTTGCACTATTACCATTCTCCCTCCCAGCTACAACAGCTTTCTTCACATTGCCTACCTGAAAATAGACAAGAAACTTTTAGAACATCCATAACTAAAAAATGAAAAAAGTAATCCAGATGTGAACATATCCAGATTCTTCAACTGGAAAGCTATTTAATAAATAACATTACTAACACATATTCAGTTTAGTTTAGGTAAAAGCCCTAAGACAACACATGATACCTGGGTACGAGCAGTGCTAGTCCATCTTCTCCGTTTTTCGAGTTCAACTTCATCAATCCCATACCATGCAGGGTCTCTAGCTGCCACAGCAATTGCTTTGTCCAATTCATCCACCTTCCTATCAACAAGAAGCCTCTCAGAAGCAGTCACATTAAATCGACACAGAGAAACACAGATTACCATCCCAAAATTCAATTATTTCAAGAAAACATGCAACAAAACAAAAAAATTCAGATTCCAAGTAAATTGGAATGATCATAAGTACCTGCCACTGAATGCTCTCGCAACTAGCAAGCAGCTCTTTGGAGAGATTCACTCTCTCTCCAGTATCAGGAGGAATTCGCTCCCATTGTTGAAAGCTAGATTGTAACTTATCAATCTAACATATCAAGCAACCATAATGTCATCCAATTGAAACATTCTAAAAAAAAAAAAAATTGAAAACAGAAATTTATCTAGGAGATCAACTAAGATTAAAATAGAAATTTCGAAATCAAGCTTACAGATTCTTGAATCTCCTCTTTTACGATATAGAACGGATCTTGAGCCGAAGACATCTCCGGTGGAAAGGAAGTAACTAACCTGAAAACAACTGAAGAACAGAATTTCCGATCAGCGACAGAAATCGATTCTTGTCCCGCTACCACCGATCTTCACAAAACCACAATGGAGATCGGATCGGTTTCCAATGAAAAGATAACAACAGGAGGAAGATGAACAAGCACCGGTCTGTAAGGCCTAGTTGGTAATTGGACTTTGTTTTTAGGGCCCTCTTAATTTGTGGCGGTGACGGCCTACACGTTTGGGCTTGCAGATTGGACTGTCGAGTCGAGGCCATCACAAATTCACAATTGAGATTTTTCACCCCGTCATTTCCCCGAGAGAAAAAATGATTTCTTTCTTTCTTTCTTTCTTTCTTTTTTCTTTTTAACAAGGTAATTACCCACAGCAAGACCATGAAATTCGAATACATACTTTGATTTGAAAAGGTTTTGCTCAGAAATTGTTAAACCGAAAGGCAATGGGTAATACGAAGTACGAACTAAAGAAGCTGTGAAATGAATATCAACCAGCTACCCACACTACTAAAAAACCATTTTTCAGCAACATGGGAGCACATCGGTCAAAGTGCATCCCATGTTGCTGAAAGTCTTCTAGCAACAAGATGCATGTTGCTTATGTCTTTGTTGGAGATACTGTGCTCGCTAATACATCAGCAACAAGGTTCACGTCGGTGATTCCTTGGACCTTTTTCAGCAACATGCACTATGATGCTGAAAGTGAAGTTTCACCAACGTAGTCTATCTTGCTAAAAAATTTACCGGAGTCGGCCACCGGAGTTGTGCAACCTTTTCAGCAACATGAAGTATGTTGGTGAAAGTTTATTATCACCGACATGGTTTATGTTGCTAAAAATGGTCATCGGAATTGTCTACCGGAGTTGTGCACCCTTTTCAGCAATGTAGGCCTCGTTGCTGATACTTTTATGAATAGTAAATCAACTTACTTTCAGCAACAAGACTCTTGTTGCTGATAATTTATGAAATGGTCAACCCAAGATGTTTCAGCAACAAGAGTCTTGTTGCTGATAATTAAATGAATAGTCCAATGCCAAATTGATTGCTTTTTTCGTTGAGAAGTGGGTTTGTTATTATTTTTTTTTAAGTTTTCATTGATAGTCCAATTCATAAATTTTTTCTATTAATTAATATTATAAGTACATTTTCTTAATTTTAATTTTAT